ACAGTTAGAAGGACAATTCATCACCACTCTTTAGGGCCTTTTTCACTCCCTCTTGCCTCGGGATCCTCGACTTTCTGGTAAATTCGTTCGCCAAAAGAGAGATCTGTCCTTTTTCTTTTATTGTGTGAAAATCATCGTGCACAAGGTCCATGGTTCATTGAGAAGCAGTTTATAAATGTCAATTACTGGGCCAAGAGTTTCAACCATCAGTTGCAACGGCTACTGCTATTGTTTCGTGGGTACGTTTGCCTGCGTTACCAATTAAGTTTTATGATGCTATTATCCTTAAGAAAATTGGGATCAAGATTGGTAGGGTAGGGTAATAAAGATTGATGATAGAACTGAGAACATATATAGGTAGATATGCGAGATTGTGTGTTCAAATCAATACTTCCAAGCCTTTGGTCTCCTATGTTTTCATCTATAAATAAAAGCAATGGATCATGTATGAAGATATGCTCTACGTGTGGCTATATTGGTCATGAATGTTCATCTTGCAACACAATGATACATGATTTCAAGCACACTCAACAAGAGACACAGAGGTAACAAGGGCAGATTGAAAGACCCCAGAACAACCAAGAAGAAGATTTTGTCCCCTAGTTTCTAGTACAAGACAAGAAATCAAAAATAAGGACCATTCAAAACATGGGAAAACTGGTCACTAAATTGAATTCCAAGCAGCCAAACCATGACGCTTCTAAGTGCAAAAAGTTTGGAGGAGAAAGGTAGAAGATTCTTTACCCCCGGTCGAACTTACAAAGAAAAGTTAGCTAAATCTTGAGGAATCATGACATTAGTTCAATCGTGGAGGGTATAGACAAGCAGCAAGTATGCCTTCCTACTTCAAAGCTAAGGAAGGCTAGGTCACAAATAAATCACCATCACTTAACATGAAAACTCACTTTGAAAACTGATTTGCAGTTTTGTAAGGGGAAGATAAGACTGAATTTTGCGTGGATTTACCTCAACAACTCAAATCCATTATTGAAGAGGCCATCTGTCAGGTTGGACAAACACCCAAAAAATCACCAATCTCCAAATTCACCATTCTAGAATTTAGAACAACCAACTAACTTCAGTCAAAATGTCTTTCGGAGCCAAATAGAAACAAATGACAGTCACATAGAAGGCAATGGGGATGCAGGTGATGAAGGGAATGAAGTGGACAACCTCATCTCATATGAATCTCTGCTATCAATGGATGAATATTCCCTGAAATTGGCCTCTGCAAAATGTGCAATAACAGAGATGCTTTAAGGGTGTGGAACAAAATGTAGCAAATTGCGGCAAAAGTCTTCTTGTAACGACCCTCAATCCATATTGTAACAATATTGTCGGCTTTAGACTTGGTCCACACGGCCTTGCTTTTGTGGGTTTTTTACATCATCAGGAAAATGCCTTGTTACAACTAAGAATATTGAGTCTACATATAAAACACTTCCTCTTGACTTTTGCATTATGGCATTGTAAAAGCTACGAGATGTTTTGCGTTTCTTAACTTGATTTTACATTGTGCTGAAACAAAATGTCCATTGCTTTCGAACACAATACCTATTTCGCTAAAATTTTGTAGGATAGGTGAAGTCAATTGAAACACATTTGGTGGTTTGATCTGTACTTTTGCTATTCTCTGTCCACAGTCGACAGCCAACCAAATATTGGATTTGGGATCCATGTAAATTATCAAGAGTAATTTACAATTTTTTGCACTCTTAGCAAATTTAGTATATGTATTTTATCGAGATTGTTAAAATATAAATACTTAAATTATACTCTCTCTAACAGTTTAAATTTTTAGAATACATGATTGTTTAACATGATATCAAAGTGAAAGATATTTGTTTGAATTTTGCCGTCACCTTAGTTATTAAATTTTTTTTTAACGTATTAGACCCAAAATCTAAACAGCACGTGAGGGGGACATATTAAAACTTCAGTCAGTAAATGAAACCAAAACTTCAGTCAGTAAATGAAACCAAACCTGTATTCACAACCACAAAGACCAATAAGTCCATAAAATTACATAGAATCGACCAACAATCCAAACATTTAGAGGTCGGACATAGAAAACAGTGGTAAATGCACTTTTACTCGAGCGATACATTTTGAACTATCGGATTTGAGCTTAGAAATCCATCTCTTGAGATTAGAATAAGACTATCTATCATTTGTTTATCTGACACCCACCCTGCTATGAGAGATTGAAGTCTTGTGAAATGGGTAATTTCTATGAAGGGATGGCACAAAGTGGGACAGCTTTTTTCAGGGTGACTCCAAACTGCTCTTGCATGTCTAGGCTCTCTGGAGTTGTTCCATCAGGTAGCCTCCAACTAAATGCCTGGATAATAGAAGCCAACATCAAGTGAACCATCCGAATAGCTAACGGTAAGCCGGGGCACATTCTTCTGCCAGAACCAAACGGTACGTACTCGAAATCTCTGCCTTTATAATCTGGACTAGGTCCTAAAAATCTTTCAGGCAAAAATCCCAGCGGATTCTCCCAATATTTTGGATCACGTCCAATAGACCAAGCATTTACGAACACTTGAGTGCCCTTGGGTATGGTGAAGCCCAACAATTCAGCGTCGTTTCGGGCTTTGTGAGGTAACATGAGTGGAGCAGCTGGATGGAGTCTTATGGTCTCTTTTAGAACAGCTTGGAGGTATGGGAGTTGATCAATGTCTGATTCTTTCACTAGGCGATTGGTGCCAATTTTCTGCATGATTTCATTTCGAGCTTTTTGCATAGTATGGGGATTGCGTAGAAGCTCTGCCATTGCCCATTCAGTTGTTATTGCAGATGTGTCACTCCCAGCAATGAATAAATCCTGTCGTCATGTTTTATAATTTCTACCAGTTAATAATACTATCTAATATAGAATCTCAAAAACTAAGGTTGACATGGTAGGCCTGGCCTTATCGATGGCTGGTATGCTAATAGGCTCTTCTACCACACATGGTGTCATTCGTCTTTATAAAAAAAAAAAAAAAATTGAATTATGAAATCATGCACGTGCTTTTTGTCACTTAGCAGCTTTGTGGGTAGCATCATAGGTTGAGAAACCAAAGCCTGTATTGAATCTGGCCAAGACATGGTCCCCTTCTCTTCCGGTCAACAAACATGGTCCAGATGCAGTTGTAAATTAAATTATTTGTGAGTTTTAATATTAAATAGAATTTATTAAAGTTGAAATTATGTTCTTAAATTAAGTATAAATAATTGTTAATTTTTATTAAAATAAATTGATATAATGTAAGTATATTAACATGATCTAATATTATTGTGGTAAATGTTATTATTTGAACATTTTTACCAATAAGATGCCTTACCAAGATCAAGGGCTTGATAGTTTGACGATTGAAACCAGACCCATCTTCTTCACACTGATCAAGAAGCGCATCCAAGAAATCACCACTTCTGCTCGAATCCAAAACCCTATCTTTCAAACGCTTATCAATAACCTCATCAAATATCTCATGTAATCTTCTATACGAAGGCCTTATGTGACGCTTCACTCCCTGCAAATCAAGCCATTTTATCACTGGAAAATAGTCCGACAGGTTTGGCTTCCCAGCGTCTTCCATGATTCTCCAGACCAGGTCCTTGAACTCTTGAGCAGATTCGAATTCTGGGTCAACCATATCAATCGAAAATATGGTGTTTGATATCAGGTTAAGGGTGGTGGCGAAAACCACACGCCCTATATCCACCGGTACACCATCGGAAGAGCAGTGTTTCTTGATGTGTAGAACAAGTTCTTGGGCTTTTTGGTGGCGGAGGTGTTGAAGTGAGTCGAGTTTTTGGGTTGTGAACATTTGGGTGCTGCATATACGGCGGCGGTTCCGCCACCGGTGGTCACCGGGGACCCAAGCGAGCGTGGCTTCGGGGTTCGGTTGGGCGGTGATGACGTCAGGGACGTGGCGGTCGGAGAAGTTCTGGTCGTGTTTTTGGAGGATTTCTTTCGCTGTTTCTGGCGAGGAAGCGACTATGGTTGTGATGGAACCGAGTCGGAGAGTTATGAGTGGGCCGTGGAGTTTGGCGAAGTCGGCAAGTGACTCGTGGACTTGAGGTCCGATTTGAAGGAGTGAACCGACTATAGGGAGGCTGGTCGGACCGGGTGGCAGTTTTGTGGTTTGTGAACGGTGGAGATGCATTTTGAAAAAAAACCAGAAGAGTGATATGCCGAAGAGTAGGAGGTAGAGCCCCATTCTCTCTCTCTCTCTCTCTCTCNCACGGCCTTGCTTTTGTGGGTTTTTTACATCATCAGGAAAATGCCTTGTTACAACTAAGAATATTGAGTCTACATATAAAACACTTCCTCTTGACTTTTGCATTATGGCATTGTAACACCAATCCCATGGTTTCCACACTTCTGTTAGGATTGAGGTTAGAAAACGGAAATGATGGCAATAGAAGTAGTTTCATATGAGCACATTGGTATTATGTGTATCTAGCTCCTAGATTTGTGGAGAGAAAGTTAGACTAAGCTACCTAGGTTGTACGAGATGTTTTGCGTTTCTTAGCAAATTTAGTATATGTATTTTACCGAATTTGTTAAAATATAAATATTTAAATTACACTCTCACCAACAACTTAAATTTTTAGAGTAAATGATTGTTTAACATGATATCAGAATAAGAGATTTTTATTCGAATCTTGTCATCACCTTAGTTATTAAAAAGATTTTGACGTGTTAGACCTAAAATCTAAACAGCATGTGAGGAAAACATATTGAAACTTCGGTCATTACATGAAACCAAGTCTGTATTCATCATTAAATGAAACCAAACCTGTATTCCCAACCACAAAGACCAATAGGTCCATAATATTACATAGAAACGAACAACAATCCAAACATTTAGAGGTCGGACATGGAAAGCAGTGGTAAATGCTCTNGGTAGAGCCCCATTCTCTCTCTCTCTCTCTCTCTCCTCTGTTCGCTCTATCTCTGTGTCTCTCTTGCTGTAAAGACAGTGAAGCGGTTGCTTAATCTCACCTATCGAGGGTCCCATTCGTGTATTGCTCTTCAAGTCATATGATTAAATTTTTAAAAAATATAAAATCTTAAGATGTTACCTTAAATGATTANGATAATTTCTACGAAGGGATGGCACAAAGTGGGACAGCTTTTTTCAAGGTGACTCCAAACTGCTCTTGCATGTCTAGGCTCTCTGGAGTTGTTCCATCAGGTAGCCTCCAACTAAATCCCTGGATAATAGAAGCCAGCATCAAGTGAACCATCCGAATAGCCAATGGTAAGCCAGGGCAAATTCTTCTACCCGCACCAAACGGTACGTACTCGAAATCTCTGCCTTTATAATCTGGACTAGGTCCTAAAAACCTTTCAGGCAAAAATACCAACGGATTCTCCCAATATTTCGGATCTCGTCCAATAGCCCAAGCATTTACGAGCAATTGACTACCCTTGGGTATGGTGAAANATTCACTAGTAATAACCCGTCCATAAAAATACTGTATAACTAAAAAAATATGAATTTAAAATATTTTTCTTTCTTTTGTTTCAATTAGAGACAATGAAAACAATGTGAGTCCCAATAATTTTTTAAAAAAATCAATAATTTATATATCTCATAACCATTCCCTCATTATCTCTTCAATCTCCTACTTAAAATAGCTATCTACCAACTACCATGACAGTATGATGATAGCCAATTCCCTTAAACATGAAANTTAAGTAATATATATTTATAAATTTTCAAAAGTTTGAATGTAATTTATTAATAAATATTTATATAACAAAATAGCTCATACTTTGAATTTTATTTCAGTCATATTTTTTTCTCAAAATCATCAATAATCACTTATCTCACCTATCATCTATCTGTCAGACTCAAACATTAAATCGCATCAATTATTTTTATCACATGTTTAATCACTTAGATATTTTCTCTTTAAAAATATCATATAACTTATTTTTATCGTATGTTTAATCATTTAATATATAATTAATTTATAATTAATATAATTTTTATCGTACCTTCGATCACTGGTTAANCCTACACAATCAAAAACCATTGTATAGCATCCCAATTCTGATTAAAAATTGCCAACCGATATCTTATTAAATATAAGCATGTTAATATGCTGAAACACAGTTATTAAAGTTTAAATTATATGAAATTAAAGTTCACAATCCAAACTCAAAATAAACTAAAATTCATATTCAAAACCAGAAATAAAGCNTTCAATTATCACCCAAGTTCAAACTACGAGGAGTTTAATGGGTAATATTTCAAATGTCAAAAGTATTAAGTCATAAATGTGAAATGATTTGGGTGTAATTCTGAATTTAAAAATNGTTTTTGTAAATGATAATGTCCATTAATCCCAAATGAAGGTGCATGTTCAAACTATAATCTCCAAAATGGTATTAATTCTTCAAACCAAAGATATAAAAAATATTCCACTAGATTATTCTCAACAAACTCAACCTAGTACAACAACCAAAAGAAAGAACCCCATCTGTGTGTGTGTGTTGTTTGTATGAGAGAAATAAGGGGAGAGAGAGTTACATAAGATTGAGAGACATTGGCGTATTTGCAGTATGTTGTCCAACAATTTAAACGTCCACGTTAATAATGCCATCGCAACTTGCTATTATAAGAGAGAGAGAGAGAGGGGGGGGGGGAATCCACCCACCTTGCTAGAACAAATAATCAAAACCTGCAATGGATATAAATTTCAGCATTAGTTTTATCGTTAAACTCCTGTCTTGGGTGATGTTAGAACATCTCCCAAGATGTAAATCCATTATACATAGCACCTTCACACGAAAATAAATTTTCAATTGTATTATAGCAAATTAAATCTATAGTAAACATCCCCCAACACTTGGATTTACATCTAGCAATAGTAGTTCTAACATTTTAAATCCTTGCTGAATAATCCACTCAAATAGTATACCAAGCTTAAGCAGAGTCATTCACCAACTACCCAACGTGATAGTAAATTGCCAAATAACATGTGAGTAATACTTATAACAATATAATGGTGAATTGACAAAGAAGAAGGTCTGCTATTCAACTAAACCAACTGAATACAGTAATTTTTGAAGGATCAAAATTGAAAAATGGATGGCATTAGTCATAGAGAGATCTAACGTTAAGATAATCGACCATTTGATATTAGAGCTAAAAAGTAGGATTACCAATGGATGCTATCAACTAATAACTCAATTGAAAAAAAAGTAGTTTTTAAAAAACCAACAAAATGGAATTAAATATTGAACTAATCAATGGTTAAATTGATAATGAAGCAAAAGGCGCAATAATTGATGTGTTACTCCTTTAATAAAAAACAAAGTACTAAACTATAAATTAGTCTTAAAAAAATCAAAACCCAAGGAAGCAATAGTTGTAAACATCAAACAACCTGCAAGCCACAGAAAATCAGGAAATCAAATCACTGTCACTCATTTTTTCAAACATCTTGGGAGAAAGCCCAAAAAGTGAAAATTAATAAAGATGTAAACATGTACTCAAATGAAAAAAAATAACAAAAGATCTATGTGCGTGTGTTCAAACTGTAATCTCCAAAATGATATTAGTTCTTCAAACCAAAGATATGAAAATCATTCCACCAGATTATTCTCAATAAACCACACCTAATACAACACCACAAAGAAAGAACCCTATTTGCGTGTGTGTTGTTTGTATGCAATAAATAAGGGGAGAAAGAGTTACATGAGACTAGGAGAGATTGACGCAACTGCAATATTTTGTCCATCAGTTTAAAGACCCACATTAATAATGCTATCGCACCTTAATATTATAGCGTGAGAGAGAAAGGAATCCACCCACCTTGCTTGAATAAATAATAAAAACTTGTAAAACAACCCAAGCATAATTTACTTGAGAAAAGTGAAGAATAAATCAAGTACTAAACATATAGGAAAACAAAAGGATTTTGCGGCATTTGGTTGAACATATTTGGGATTTTTTCCGAGGACTGGAGGGGTTTGTGTAGAAATGAGTGCAAATACAATTTGTGTTCTATGTATGTGTATGTGAAACCCGAGCATACATTCCTAGTATATAATAAAAAAAAATTAATTATTTCAAATTTCAAAATTTTGATAATTACCAAACTACCTTTGCATTACAACCATGCCCAAGCTGTTGTCTGGCAATCCCAGGGCCTTCCTGTCTTTCCCTAGCCTTCTCCAAGCCTCTAAAATGTTTTAGGATGATCTTAAGCCTTCACTTAGAGCCTGGAATGAACAGAAACTGGTTAGAGGAGAGAGAGTGAAGAAAGAGAAAACCTTCACTTGAATTTTCGAGTTTGCTTTGGATGCTTATTCTGTTAGAATAATTTAATATTAAAAAAAAATTTAGAATAATTATTATATATACTTCCACCAAAATAATGTTTTAATTATTTATATTTCATAGGATTCTTTAAAAACGGTTACATATGTGTGTGTGTGTATATATAAATATGTGTGTGTGTGTGTGTCATCATCAAACATTATTAATATTTTTAAGGGTTAATTGCACTAGAGGTTCCCAAAGTATGAGATTTGTCTCACTTTAGTTTTTAACGTTTTAATTGCATCATTTTGATCCCTGAAATATTGAATATGTTTTTATATGATCCTTCAAGCAGACAATGTCCAGATTGTTAAAGATTTTTTATCATAAATTTATCACGTAATAGCTATATATGGATAAAAAATAATTTTGATAGCTCTTAAACAAAATTTAGGTAGTTTTTAACAAAAGAATGTGTAATATGAGTAATTTTTGACCAAAATTTGGATAGCTTATGGTTAAAACTGTGTAATTTAGATAAATATTTAATCAATATTTGCGTAGAAATTTAGTCAAGAGTTATTTAAATTATTTTTTTTCCATATTTAAGTATCATGTGACAAATTTATGATAAAAATATTGTTAGCAATCTAGATACTGTTTGCTTAAGTAACCATATAGAAACATATTCAATACTTCAAGGATTAAAATGATGCAATTGAAATATTGAGGACTAAAATGAGACAAACTCTATACTTTAGGAACCTCCAATACAATTAACCCTATTTTTAATGTGTATAGAAGTTGGGAGTAATGGCTCCAAACTAGCCGTTTGAGATTAGCCTATATAATGTTATCACTACAACTCATTTTGGAGGATTCTTGATGAAGGAGATACACCATTTTCTATATTTCTTCATGCAAAATATTCGTCTATT